GGGGGGTCTGATAACCAGCAGAGGACGGGCTGCTTCGGCCAGGGAGGTCAGGGTAACCCAGTGTGGTGTAGGTTCTCACGTTACCCCACAGACAGACAGACAGACAAACAGAAAGACAGACAGACACAGACACGGTGAGACTCCATGTAGATAGAAGCAAGGACCGACAGACAGACAGACAGCCAGACAGACAGACAGACAGACAGACAGACAGACAGACAGACAGACAGACAGACAGACAGACGGGGAGACTCAATGTAGATAGAAGCAAGGACAGACATACAGGCAGACAGACACACGGGGAGTACTCATATAAGAAGAGGGAATAAATATAAAACGTTTAATTAGGAAGTACCCACCAAACTCGCCAAATCGCGGCTTCGCCCGGGTTGACAAGACACTGATAGACTTAGAAGATAAATGATTATAATGTACCTGGTAGTGATAACCTTAGACGCTCACAGTAGTACATTGTATAAGAACGTATAGAGTAATAACCTTAGATGCTCAGAGTAGTATAAGTATAGGAATGTAATACATTTTTGTATAGTGATAACCCTAGACGTTCAGAGAAGTATAATTAAGTATAATATAGTGATAACCCTAGACGTTCAGAGAAGTATAATTAAGTATAATATAGTGATAACCCTAGACGTTCAGAGAAGTATAATTAAGTATAATATAGTGATTACCCTAGACGTTCAGAGAAGTATAATTAAGTATAATATATAATATAGTGATAACCCTAGACGTTCAGAGAAGTATAATTAAGTATAATATATAATATAGTGATAACCCTAGACGTTCAGAGAAGTATAATTAACTATAATATAGTGATAACCCTAGACGTTCAGAAAAGTATAATTAAGTATAATATATAATATAGTGATAACCCTAGACGTTCAGAGAAGTATAATTACGTATAATATAGTGATAACCCTAGACGTTCAGAGAAGTATAATTAAGTATAATATATAATATAGTGATAACCCTGGACGTTCAGAGAAGTATAATTAAGTATAATATAGTGATAACCCTAGACTTTCAGAGAAGTATAATTAACTATAATATAGTGATAACCCTAGAATTTCAGAGAAGTATAATTAAGTATAAGAACATAATAATATAGCGATAACTGCTTAGACGCTCAGAAAGTACATGTATAAAAGTATAAGAAGGTATCCCTGGACGTTAAGAGTACCGAAGTATAAGAAAAGAACATAATAATATAGTGATAACCCTGGACGCTCAGAGAAGTATAAATTACATATAAGAACGTATAGTGATAACTCTAGTTTCTCAGAGAAGTAGTTCTTGTTCTTGTTCTTGTTTCAGGAAGCAACATCCCTGCACTCCGGACATGTCCATTGATGCTCCGTTGCTCTCTCCAAAATGTTGCCGAGGGTTCTTCTACTGATTGTGAAGTAGAAGACCGTATAGTGATAACCCTGGACGCTCAGAGAAGTATAAATTAAATATATATAAGAACGTATAGTGATAACTCTAGTTTCTCAGAGAAGTAGAAGACCGTATAGTGATAACCCTAAACGCTCAGAGAAGTATAAGTATAAGAAGGTAGAGTGATATCCAGAAGGCGACTGTGACTAATAAGCGAGCGAGCCCAATTAAGCTGTTCTTTTTTTTTCTTTTTTTTTTTAGTTAGAGTTTCACGGCACTTGCAACACAATTAGGTCATATAAGTGCCGAAGATTTGAAGTGTTACAAGAGAGTATAGTAACAAACACAGAAAAAAGTAGAAGAGATCAGGACGATAGATGTTTGATAGGAAAGAAGGAGCAAACCACACCAGAGCACCCGCTAACCGCCCACACCTAAGCGGTTCTTCAGGATTTTACCCAGTAGCCAGTAGCAAGAGACATTATATAGATCTCTAGGGCCAAAGGCCTACGGGAATAATATGTGACCGTCGATATGATACAAAGCGTGCAGGATCTTCATCCATCAACTCTCTCAGTTTGAGAACTTAGATCTACAAACTAACACTAACTCCTTTATATGTGGTTGGCGGTTGCTCTGATGTGGTCTGCTCTTTCTTTCTGATCAAACATTTGTCCTGATCTTCTCTCCTCCTTCTTTGTGTTTGTTACTCACTTGTAATACCTCTAATCTTCGGCACTTAATAAAGTATGACCGTATTGTGTTGCAAGTGCCGTAAAACTCTTACAAAAACTGAACTCCTTTATGCAGTAGGGGAACTAACAGCTTAATTTAACATTTTTTTCTACAGATGCCAGCAATATGTAGACTAGCAGGGGTCTCGATCTTGCACCCATGGGCCTATTTATTGAGGCCCACAGGACCATAATATTGTGCATTCATAATATACGCATAATTCAATAGGCCACATTCATGACATCAAAGTTTAGTGTTAGAGATAGTGTTGTCCGCATCTTTTTCTCACACTCAAATGAACCTTTCTGCCGAGGCTTTGCTCTGGATTTTTATGGGTTTTTTTGTATTTGGTTTAAAAAAATCACTTATGGTGTAACATATCCCAGGCTTGTAAACGTTTCCGGTTGTGTTTACAGACAAGTAGTAAACAAAAGTGATTTCAAAACTGACCCTTATTTAAAACAGTTAGGCACAAATTAATATATATATATAACACGAACACGGAAAACTCGAAATCACGGATAGCTCGGACACTTTGCCTTTCACCGACTGATATCTTTACTTCAATTTTTCGAAATGTCGGTTAACCTGAATCATGGATGTGTCGAAAACATTAAAAGTATTTGTCAATTCCAGACGTGTTTGAGTTATCCGTGCCCGCAAGTAGGCCTACATGTACACATATGTAGGCTTCTAGGAACTTTTAATTTTTTCACACTTTGTGTGGAATACGTGTACTTGGTACTTGGTGCAGCGGATCAGGCTCACTCAGACTCAACCTTCAGTGGCTCCCGGGAGGTTTGAGTTTGGTGAAAAATGGTGAAATGGTATAGAGGTCTAACGCCCTTATCAACACTATTGGACTAGGAGGCGGGACCTCCAAGTTTAACGTCCATCTCCGAAAGGACCGAGCTAAGTGGGAAATTCGTGTATAGTGCCTGTCAGGAAAAACCCAGGCTGAGAGGGATAAATACAGCATCTCTTCAGAAAGGGACGGGGACTCCTCGCACGGGAATCGAACTCGGGTCTCCTGTGTGCCACAGCCAAGAGCCCAACACTACCTACAGCTACACCATTACGCCCAAATAAAGGGTAAAACAGATTTCCTTGTAGTTGAGTGTGTACACGACATCTCCCCCCCCCCCTCTCTCTCTCTCCTTTTGCCCTTTATTTGGTGTAAACTGAGTTAGAATACTATGCTTTATGTTGAACTAGAAATCTGTCCCCACTGTATTAGGCACCCCACATAATTTAGCAAAGTTTGATCATTTTTTGAATAATTTCTGATTATTTTCCTTTATCATTCTTTGTTAAAATTAACAGAATCGCATAATTTCTGATTTTTTAGCTCAGTTTGCATAATTTCAGAATAATTATTTTTTGTGTGCATAAAACCACGGGGAGAAATACAAGTACTCCAGAGTGCACGATCTATAGGAAATATACAACACAAATAAATCTATGGTCTCCACTTTTTTTTTCTTTTTTTTTTTTTTAAAGTAGATCTACGCGTTTTGAAGTACTTGCAGCACAATAAGAAAAGTCAATTAGTGCCGAAGATTAGAGGTGTTACAATATAGAGTAAAATAACAGATACACAAAAGGAGGAGAGAAAAGGACGACGTAGTTAGATGTTTGATAGGAAAGAAGCAGCAATTAAACCACACCAGGGCACCCACCCACCAACCACCCCCATCGTATTCTCTTATAACTGTTATTTTCGAAAAGTACATGCCTAAAAAAACAACAACCCAATAGTCCTTTGATTGTAAAGAAGGGGCAGCAAACCATACCAGGGCACCCACCAACTACCCTCCCCCCCTCATGAGCGCAAAACATTTCAGAAACACAGACAATCGAAAACAAAGTACAACAAAATCGACAACACTACATAATTATTGCAGGCTTATATACAACACTTGAAACAATTTTGTTCCACGAAAAGTTGCTTTATTTTTAAGAATTCCATCAAATAAAAGAGTGACCGTAATACAACATAATAATATAGTCATCTAGTAATTAACATTATCATCAGACCAGTATTTCTTTCACTCTCAGTTAGGCCAACTCGGTCCTAGACCTTTTTACTTCTTCACAAACACACACTATCACTCTCTCTCTTTCTACTCTCTCTCTCTCCCTCAAACACACACACACACACACACACGAACATATACACACACTCACACAGAAAAACACCATTATTAGAAGAATGCTATTTCTCTCAGACGTCTCTTTCCGTAAGCCACTCATTCACTTGAACAACACAACGTTTATCATTTATGCAGGCCCTATATAGAGAGCCATCTCCATGCAAACATTGCAATGATATATCAATATCACAAAGTGAGAACAACATACATTTTTTACACAGTTCACCGACCCGTCCATCAATTGGTCAGTCTGTCTGGAACAATATTTTGGTTAATTTGTCCGTCTTCACTCTCATTTTTTCTGTCTTTCTCTTCCTCACAAAATCAACGCCCTAACAGTTTCTTCTTTTTTTATTTTAGTTTTAGAAGAGATTTTACGGCGCTCGCAACTGCATAAGGTCATATGAGCGCCAGAAGATTAGAGCTGTTACAAGAGAGTAACAAACATAAAAAAGGAGGGGGGGATATATAAGGACGATAGATGTTTGATAGGCAGGCTAGGAAGAAGGAGCAAACCACACCAGAGCACCCGCCAACCACCCACATAGTTTCTTCACCCTCAATCAAAATCTGCTGGGAAGTTCAGTGACAAGTAACTCCAGAGAGCAAGATAATACATTATTTATTTTTAAACTAGAAAATGTAGGAGGTGGGCTTCCACCTCTGCTTGTCAGGGCCAGCCCGGGATGAGAGGGATACAACAACATCCTATCAGAAAGACCGAGATATTCCATACTATAAAAACTTCTCCCCATTCAGGAATTGAACTTGAATCTACTGCGTGCGACAGTGAAGTGCCTAGCTGCTACACCGCAGACACCCGAGATATCAACCTAACAAGCAGCTCTCTCACACACAGACGTCTTAATTTAATTTAAGTACCGTAAGAGTTTTACGGCTCTTGCAAAACAATTAGGTCATTTAAGTGCTGAAGATTAGAGGTGTTACAAGGGAGTAACAAACATAAAAAAAGAAGGAGGAGAGATAAGGACGATAGATGTTTGATAGGAAAGAAGGAGCAATTATTGTTTTATTTTGTTTTATTTTTTTGTTGCATTTTGCAGTTTTCGTTTCTTTTTCTAACATTTTAAATTCACAATGCAAGTGCAAGTTTCCTGGAGTCATGATCATGTGCCCCAATTCAGTAGCGCCCCTTTTAACATTCTGTGAACAGTTGAATTCAGGAATGTCTTTAAAAACATAATTCAAGTTGCGCTCAAAAGAAACAAAGAAAGTGGAAAAAAGAGAAGCAGCTCGGAGAGAGCAGACCGTAGAACCCCCCCCCCACACACACACATCGATATATATGTCTTGTACTATAACAGTCTACATCTCACAGCAACAAAAACCACAATAATAATTCAAATGAAATAAAAAATAATAAATAGCATTTCTTCGCCTCAGAACTATTTATTTGTCCAAAGTGTGCATAAGTTAAGAGACACTTTGATCAAAATAGTTCTGAGGCGATGGTTTGTTTTATATAAAGCCCATATTCCCACTCAACAACAAGCTCTCTATGCGCTTTACAAAATTAAAATAATCAAAAATGAATACACAGGACCTCTAAGTAGTATCAGATGTGGCCCCCAAAAAGGTACGCACAAGGAGCACCAGGTTCAAATCTTGCAAAACGGTAAAAGTAAAAGCAAAGTGTACAGAATGAAAAAAAGAATATAATATTTAACAACATGGTATGAGCCAATCTGAAGAGGGGAGGGAACGCTTAGAATAAAGTCTAAAGAAAATGCGAGAGAAAAAAGAAGGCTCAAGCAAAAAAAACAAACCCCAACAAATTTATCCCCCCCCCCCTCTCCCCACTAAAAACCCCTAATGAACCTAAGTAGGTAAAATAGCATGAACTGAGTTTAAAAAACAAAAAACAAAAAGAAGTAGCGGCCAATCTGGGTGAAGAAAGTAATGAAAGTTGGAGAAACAAATAGTTATCTTGTGTCTGTGAATATGTTGATAAACAAATATCTCCTACTGTAAGTACATGGTATGTTTTCCTTTCTACTACTGAGTATAGTTTTAGTAAGAGTTTTGTTTGTTTGTTTGTTTTGTTTTGTTTGTTAGGGTAACGAGGATGGAGCACATCGAGACAATAATGGTCATTTAGTGAAAAAGTCAGACAGACAGACAGAAACAACAGAGGGAAAGTTAAGAAGTAGGACCTACCAGTGGCGCTTAGTATGGATTTTACAGCTCTTGCAACACAAATAAGTCATAAAGAAAGTGCCGGAGGTAAGATGTAAGAGATGTGTTACTGGAGAGAATCAACCACCTAACAAGGGTCCCTTAGGAGCAATCAAATCAAATGTCAGTATATGTAGGCATACATATGTAGGCATACATGTACCAGTACAGAGCAGGCCGCCAGCTTAGAATTTACACAAATCTTGGACACAAATTCCTGATTAATAACTTTAAAAAAAAAATAACAGCACTTTTATTTGCAATGCGTTGCAATTGAGCATTCAAGATCATTCTGTTAGCAATTCAATAAAAGAAGAGTTGCAAGTCCTTCAAAATTTCATCATCAATGCCTTTCTCACCCTGGACCAAGGCACAGGACAAAAACTCTCCACTTTCCCCAACACTTTGGGCTAGCCTCTTGACATTATGAAGTTAAAGCCATCAAGAACGACTGACTGTCCCTTACGGCTGCTGGGAAGGGTATCTCGATAAACTCCCAGGTCTTGATTGTCTAGAGACACATGACAGAACAAGACGACAAATTAGAAAACATTCATGAATCTCCTCCTCAAGATGGAAAAAAATGTCCCATACACTACCTGGTAATTTAAGAGAGATCAAATCGTTGTAGCCTATTCATTTAAAAGTTAGCTCAAGTCTTTTCTGTTCCGAGGATGAAAGAGATAGATTTTTTAATCAGAACACAGTGTACTGTTTATGTGTTGCTATTATTGCATTTTAGTAGTAAAACGTTCAGAGCCTGTGTTATTTCATCTTGTAAGATGGCTATATATATATATATATATATATATATATGAATGTCATATATTATTCCCCCAAAACTCACAAAAGACAGCTTCTAAGTTCTAATACATTTACGCTTTACAATGCTGGGATCTTTGATAAATAAAAAGAGGAGGAGTTAAAAGCTATTACATGTAATATTAAAATTAATCTCACTCCATAATGACCTTCAGCAAAAGCGGCCACTTCAATGGAACAGAATACATGATGTATTGTACGTTTTTATTAAAGTGAACAGCAGCTGATGTTTCTTAGCCAGAAGCTATTTCTGAATATTTTACACCCAGCAAATGTTGTATCATTAACAACTGTAGTATCATTAATCACTTACTTTAGTTTAAGTTAGATTTTACTACACTTGAAACACATTTAGGTTCATATTATACGTGCCAAAGATTAGAGGTTGTTTTACTATAGAATAACATAAAAAGACTAGTAGCAGGAGAAACAAAAACCACAGATGTTTGTTTGTTGGAAAGAAGAAGCAAACCACACCAAAGCACCCGCCAACCACCTACGCAACAAAAACTGAAAAAACCTTGAACAAGCACTAAAACTAGACACAGTCTAGCACATAAATTGTGAAATTGGCGGGACATGCAAATCTGTTTGTTATGTCACGTATGAACTCCGCTATTTATATATATATATACCATACGTGAGTTAACTGAAAGAACAAACCTGTATATGAAAAAATTCAGGACCTGAAGAAAATCTCTTACTCTTAGTCTTAGTCTTAGCTATGTTGCGTGTTCACTACGCATTTCGCTATTCGTGAGTTTCGCTATAATGTGTATGATTCGCTTACACGTGCTGGACTGTGCATTGTAGTTAACAAGAGTTGTTAAACAACATTCACATAAATACAACTAAGAAGCGCAGCATGATTAATAGACACTACATTATATAAATGAGGAATCAATGAATTTTCAAATACCAAAAGATTAGAAAATTAATACATATAGGCTATTTATATTTTCATATTGACAAGAACAAGTACAACAAACTATTTTTTCTTATTCGGTTTCTTGTTTACTGTTTATAGTAGAGTCTTATTTTTTAATCTCATATTCATTCGGGTTATCAGGAGTCTGTTATCCCCCTCCTCCCCCCTCCCAACTCCTTCAAACCTTTTTAAACATATCATATTCAGAATATATTACTATATTTGGCGTTCTTGATAAACAAAAAAGAAGACAAAATTTTAAAAACCTTATTAAGCTGCCTCCTTGAGTTCAAATTGAGAAACAAAACCCGCAGTCTCAAAGTTGAAAAGTTAAATATACAGTCGAACATGCTCTGACTGCCACCTGTACAAGACAATCAATCACCGGTAGAAATAGCCACTTCCCACTTTCCCCCTTGCGTTTTTTTCTAACATCATCATAAAATTATTATTATTATAATTACACTGTCTAAGACAACCACTTTTCTCCTCGGCAATGTGCGGCCATCTTGGGCAATGACGATGAGCACAATTATGTTGATGCGCGATGGCAACATTTACTGCACTCTTTGAAACGCGTTGACAGAAAAAGACAACAGAATTACCTAAGCACAAACGACAGGAGGAGAACAACATAGAAAGCACAGGTGCACTGTGAGCATAGGATCAGCTGTGGGGGTGTGAGGGAGGGTGTGAGTCCTTCAGTTTTAGTGAGAGTATCACGGTACATGTACTTGCAACACAATAAGGTCATATAAGTGCAGAAGATTAGAGGTGTTACAAGAGAGTAACAAACACAAAATAGAAGGAGGGGAGATAATAAAGACGATAGATGTTTGATGGGAAAAAAGGAGCAAACCACACCAGAGAACCCGCCAACCACCCATAGTGTGAGTGCGAGTGTGAGGGCGTGAGTAAGGATGTGAGTGAGGGTGTGGGGGTGTGAAGAGGGTGGGGACCATAGACAATACACTCGTGCTGGGAATCAAACATCATGATTGTGCAGCTGTGTGTTCAAATATATGTTAGGCCTACTGTTTGTGTTATTGCAACGGTATTTTTAACTGAGTTGAAGAAAGAAACTGGAAAAAAATACAGAGATGAAGTTATCATGCATTATTTGGGAGTTGTGCTGAGAAAATTGGTTACTTCTCGCAATCCACAAATGGAGATATTGGCCAAAAATTGACACTAGTGTCAAATTTGTAGATTTTCTATTAATGTCATATATTCTTTAAGTATAACATTCCTTTTTATTATTTCATACTTCATAAATTGTAAAAAACTTCATCTATAAAGCGTGATGTTTCTAGATTCTATTTCCATAAGGCTCGAATCCGAGAAGTAACTCATTTTGTCAGAACGCTTCACATTCAATTTATAGAAGTGGTCAGAAAAATAAAGAATCTTAGTCACATCGTGGGTTGTTTGAGAAAAAAAAAGACCCACAATAAACCCCCCAACCCAGTAAGGCTTAAGCTTGATACAATAATAGTATGGGTTCGGGTAATTTGTAAAGGCTGTAACTTATCATAACTCTGAATAACAGCCATTTAATAATTTCATTCAAGTGCTATGTTGTGTACTCTCCCGTGATGTGCGTCATTATACTGAAAACTCTATTTTTAGCAAAATGTGACTTAAACCACCATTTCTATTTCTGATCCCTTCAATAAATGAACCTTGATATATAAAGTCCAATATAAAGTGAAAAAGTTCTCATTAAACAAGGCCGAACAGTATCTGAAAACAAAGTCATGGGCAGTGAACTGCAACTCTGATGTTACATCAAAACTCGGTGAAAGAAATATACTTTACTTTAAGAAATTTCCTATCACATTTTTTAACGGACTAAAACATATACATATATGTGGTAACAAGTGACACGCACATACAAACATGAACTAAGTATGTCGTAACTTAAAAGTGAGAGAGCCCACAAGTACTACAAAACATAATTTGGCATATTATATGCATGTATAAATGGTATTTCTGAACAAAATACTGCGAAAACATCATATTTCAAGATGCTGAAAGACAACTTTATACAATATGATAACAATCTTTTCTCCATGACAACAGATATAAGTATAACATTCTTCACTTTGTTACACAAGAAGGGTTTTCAGAACCTCCTCTCCACTTCTTTCCTATCAAATTCTTCATTTTCTGTGCCAGATACCAATAGCTTTTTCATTATCTATCTTTCTATCCTTAAATTATTCTCAATTCTTTCTTCCTTTCCTTCCATAAAGTTGATAAAGTAGTTCTCTCAAATACTATCAATTTTTCAGACAAAAAAACCAAAACAACATGTACTGAACTAGGAGGAACAGCAGTAATAGTCACACCATAGCTACTGGTACATCAAAAGAAAAATATTAATTACGAATCATAATAAAAGAAGGTACAAATATCTTTTTGTCCCTTCAAAAAGCACTGAATAGACAATTAATTCTCAAAGGTATTTGGGTCAAAGCAAATTCCCAGAGAATGAGGAGTTTCCAAAGGGCCCAGTAAGAAATGAGTAATGGAGAGTTTAGGAAAAGCAATCCCACAAGATATCCATAGAGGGAATCTCAGGAATGTTCTACATACAATAAAACCTCGGTACAACGTACTCCCTTCCCATCCAAGATTTTGCACGCCTTAGCCGAGGTACGTATTAGTCAAAAAGATAAATAAATACTTAATTGGGCTTGGGGCTTCAGAAAATGAATGTTACTGTTGATAGTATGTTTTAAACCAGTGCGTACTTTATGCCGAGGTTTTACTGTAAACTAAATAACGGCTGAGTGGTAGTTCAATAACCCTCAGCCAAAGAGGTTCTATTTAGTACTAGAGTTCATGGTAGTGATGTCCCCCTCACAAAGAGGTTCTATTATTTAGTTCTAGAGTTCGTGGCAGTGATGTCCCCCACAAAAAGAGGTTATATTTAGTACTAGAGTTTGTGACAGCGATGTCACCCTCGTAAACGAACAGGGGCTGCATGTGCCCACTCTGGGACCCTGAGCCTCAAGGGCAAGACATATGCAGTTCAACAGACAGATGAGAACTTTTCGAGACTCACGTGGAGGCGTCTCGGCAGTCTTAGGAGAAAATCTACAAGCCTACACTGAAATATGGGGGCAGGGTGGTGTTTAAATATAGAACTTGCGGGGAGAGGGGGTGGGGGCTCAGATTGTTCATGTAAATGGGGGTATATTGGCCATGCTGATGAGTGTAAGAAGACCCTCCCATGTCTGACATGTGTGATGTCACTGCTGCGAGCTCTAGTACTAGATCTATATAACCTCTTTGGTCTTGGCACAACAAGCGCTACGTCTGTGACACCAAGAGTACATCCAGGCCAGCAGCGACCCAAGAGAAGTAGTGAGGCCCCAACACACACCACACAAGGCGCAGCTCAACAGCTATTCATTTGCAAAATTTCTAACACACACACACAAATGAGCGCATACTAGCATACACACACTCAAATACTACACACACACACCTACACACCTCACGAAACATACATCATACATGTGCACATATATATACACACACAAACACACATCCACATGTTGTAAGACCATAAATACTGGTAAAAACATCAAAGCAGTAATAAATGGCACCGAGGAACAATCACCATGTGTTATCTGATTGCAAGACCCTCCAGGAAAAGCTTGTACACCAAACACACACACACACTACACACTCGCAACACAACACAACAACCGGCCACTCATTGGGGGAACTGTGCACATGGGATAACACACACGGAATCAGGGCACAGGATTACACTTTCCTTTCTTTTCCTTTCCTTTCCTTTCCTTTGCTTTGCTCTGTTCTGTGCTGCTGTACTGTACTGTACTTTACTTTTCTTCACTTCACTTTACTTTACTTTACTTTATCCTTCCACTTGTATCATTAGATGTCGATGGGAGGTGGCCTCTGTTGTTGATATGTTGTTACACATCAAACAAGATAATAAAACACTAAATGATAATTCACTTACAATTACGCAAACAGAAAACCAAGAAAGAGAGAAATTCTCAGTTACACAGTTCGGGATCTCTTATCAACAATGTTTTGTAAAATTGCGTTAAGTAAGAGTAGACCTACCGGAAAATTGAAATTGAACTCATCCTTAAACACCGTCCAACTACAGAGCTACCGAGCTTCTCTTTCACATACATAATGTCTTGCAAGAAAATTAGAGTATGTCAGCTGTTTCATCCATCTATCCTTTGACTCAGAGCACACGAGGGCGGTTTCCATGTTTTGGGAATTCCCTTCCTTCAACAAGGCACACAACAAAGTACAAAACCTTTCAACACAGACCCACAGAAGCAAACAAAAGGAAGGGGAGGAGAGGGAAGAAACTGGCGGGGGGGGGGGGTGATCGGGCATCTATATTCAAGGGGGGTGGTTGGGATGGGGTGTGCCAAAACGCCAGTGCATGTCTAGTCTCCTCCTCCATGCTGAGTGACCTACTTTTGGCTACACATGAGGATCAGGTTCTGGACGGCGGTGACCGTCGACTGTGTGTTCTGGCCCGTGATGAGAAATCTGTCGATCACCACGTGCACGCCATCTGGCTCTGTCGCTGAAAAGAAAGTAAATGAAAGAAAAGTAAGTGAAAAAAAAGCTCAATAAAATACACAGTAGAACACGGATAGCTCGAATTCGTCGGGACCGGCATCGGTAGTTCGAGGGATCCTTAGTTTGAGGGATATCTTACAAAGACAAAGTAAAAAAGAACCCTCGGACTGCAGGCACGGTTCGACAGATGCGTGATTTCGAATCTTCTGTGTTCGACCTATCCGTGTTGTATTGTCTACAAAAGCAAGCACTGTAGAAAGTTCTCATATTATGCAAGCAAATCTTGCTAGACTAAAAATCAACAAAACAGAACAAGAAAATATCTAAACATTCAACTGGAAATTTTTCAGGACGATGAACAAATATAAACAGTTGATTGCAGTTGAAGCCATGAAATTTTATTGTTTGTCCCAATTCAAACAACGCTGTACCCATCCCAAGATGTCTAGCTTTCCTTCTTTCCATCAAACACCAGTCTGATATGATGGTCCTTTTCATTCTATGAAGTTCCTTTTTATTTTAAGAAGGTTTCTTTTCCTTCTATGAAGGTCTTTTTTATTCTATGACGGTTCCTTTTCATTCTTACTAACAAGTGAGAGAGATCACAGATGTGAATGTGTGAGTTGTTTAACATATGTGTCAGCAATTAGGGATGGGGTTAAATAAAATGATAAAATTACCACACTAAAAATAGCATCACCAAGAAGAAAGAGTCACTTACCGGTGTACTTTCCACCATGATCTTTGATAAAATCCTCGAGGATAATCGGCATTGTCAGGAACTCGGGTAAGTGGCCCACTTCAAACAAGGAAGGCTGGCGAGAGAGAACGCACATGGAACAGTTACAGAAGCAATTCAGAACGAACAATTAGAACAGCTTTTTTCCTTGCAGCAAGCCAGGCCCAATAAAATTATATGTGGGTATCAATTTCCCCATATTTCACCACATAGTCCATTGTCATGATGCAAAATGTTAACAAACTATAACACAGACAGCTTGAATAAGCTCGGTCCGACGTTGTGTCCTTGGGAAAGGCACTTTACACGAACTTCCCACTTGGCTCAGTCCTATCGGAGACGGACGTTAAACTAGAAGGTCCCGCCCCTTAAATAACCTAATAGTGTTGATAGGGGCGTTAAACCCATACCATTTCACCATTTTCACAGCTTGAGTTTGACGATACCGCCCTCGGTAGTTCGAGTGATCCGTAGTTCGAGGGATATCATACACAGATAAAGAAGAAAGAAAAAGGGACCCCAGGAACAGTTTGATGGATATATCATTTCGAGTCTTCGGTATCCGACCTATCCGTGTAATACTGTATGCGCATTAATTTACCAAATGGTTGGCAAGTAGGATTCCTCTAAGAGCACAGGTAACAAAATTTCTGAATCATTTCAAAGGAGAGAAAAAAACAACCACTAACCGAGGTCAGGCAGAAATCTTCCAGGTACCACGACTTCCCATCCTCTCTCCGAGCTGGACACAACCCGGCCACTCCTTGCCCTATTGCACAGATCGGTTCTAGAAAGGAAAAAAAATTGATGCATGTACGGTCGAAATTGTCCAAGATGGCCACCTGTTCTCGAGCAGAAAAATTGTTGTTGTAGACTGGTTGATGTCTTGGATAGTCTCATTGTGATATGTAAAAAAAATGTGAAGCGCGCTGACATGATAAAAAGAGTTACTTCTCGGATTTCAGACCTATGCAAATAGATATGTCACGCTTATAGATGAAGTTTTTGCCATATGTAAATATGAAATAATAAAAAGCTTGTTATACTCAAAGAATATGGCATCGATAGAAAATCTACAAATTTGACTCTAGTTTTGATTTTTAGCCAATATTTCTATTTGTGGATTGTGAGAAGTAACTCATTTTGCCAGCGCACTTCACATATTATAACAGAAAATGCCCAAGGGGGGACATGTGAAAAGGTCATTTGTACAAGTGATTGTCATGGACAGGTGTCCCTTAGAGCAGATTTGACTGTATTTATCAAAGTGACACTTTCCAACAGTCCTTGAATGCTGCTGTTGCTTCTGTTGTTGCTGAAGACACTGCACCACACAACGTCGGTTATTTCCAAAACAAACATTAGGGCCCAACGCATCGGGAAACCAGGCTAAGAAGAAACACTCCAAGAAGAAAGAGAAAAAAATTGGAAGTCCCATTTAGATTCAAACTCAAACTTATGCACTGCAGATTAATAACGTAACTTAGTGCGCTGCTGCAGCCCACATCAAATACACAGTGTCGAGAAAAAAGTATTTCAGTTTTAGTAAGAGTTTTACAGCACTTTGAATACAATAAGGTTATATAAGAGCCGAAAACTAATTTTATATAAATCTATGAAGAAAAGTTTTAAAAATCTAGCCTCAATTGTTGGGGAAAAATATGATGAAGTTGAGACAAATTGATACAAACTACTGATAAAAGCAAGAGTGCCGGTGATTCACCCATTTAAGAGATATTTGAGGATAAGTTGTGCCACAAATTTTCGACAGCACTATAAGCCTTCTTGAATAAGCGCGAAAAATCTCGTAGGTCACGGGTGCAAGATTCTTTGGTGGTCCTAAAATCGATATAAAAAGAGTAGGCTCTGGCTGCCAACTGGACAAAATTCAAAATTAATTCCTATCAAACTGAAAATGTTTGATGTGTCCCGCGCGCTCATGTGACCTTATACAGTTGAGAGCGCTGTAAAACACCAAAAACCCCAAAGAGACTCATCCTTACTTTTTTCCTTGATGAAATGTACGAGGATCTGACTGAGGTCCTTGTTCCCGGCCAAGTCGTGGATGGCCCCGGGGCAAGCGGGGATCAGCATGGCCGAGTAGCGGTTCACTGGGGATCACCCACAGACAAAAACATTTCAGTAACTAGCTGGCTGCATCTCGCTGTTTCATTCTTTGTTTGTATAAATTGTAAAGCTTACAGAGCTTGCTGCTGAGCGGGGATTTGCGCTATACAAATGCTATTTATTATCATTATCATTATTATTATCATTAGTTACAATGTGTAAGTAAGAGCTTATGATATGTTTTGGTTTTACAGCTGTCCTTACGTGTATATATATGATTAATGTTTGGTTGTGAAAGTTCTTCTTTATGTGGTTGAACAGGTATTTCTTGTTACTGTGAAATATTTTATCTTGTGTGAATCGCTCAGTGTTCATGTGATTGGTGTAAAGGGCTCAGAGCTTACATATATACTAGAATGGGATAGAGTGCTATATAAATGCAATCTATTAATACTATTATTATTATTATTATTATTATTGTATAATGGATAGCATTAATTTGTATAGCGCAAATCCTTGCTCAACAGCAAGCTCTATGCACTTCACAAATCTACACTATTACCCCAGCAGACCTGAGAGCATTCTGAAACAACTTCAACTTCCCGGGAAGCATACTACAGCGAAAGCAGCCATTTATAGGCGCTCGCTAAAACACTAACATACTGACAAGATCTTTCGCTGCCTATGGCCGGGTACCTAGACGGTCATATAATCAGGCCACCTGCGCACTACTGACCTAGATTCCTTGTGGGCTGACACACCCGTGTAGTAAGCCCAC